CCTGAACTGATTGAACCTGTACCTAAAAATGAGACGCACCTTCAAGTAATTTATGACGGTGACGTGGGATTAGTGGGGCACTGGAGTTGTATTTATTACATTAATGGAATACTGCGTGTGTACGATAGTCTTGTTGGTGTTCTAGGAAAATCGCAAAAAATATATGTAAAAGCCTTGTTTCCGTATCTATCGGAGTCATGTATTCAGTTTCCAAGTGTTCAGCGACAACCGAATACTATTGATTGTGGTTTGTTTGCCATTGCTTTTGCCACCTCTTTAGCTCGGAATATTTATAAATACATATATAAAATTAATATTCATACATAAAAGTACAAGGCAAAATATCGGGAGAGTTTAGGCTCCATTCACCAGGTGTATAAATTGACATAATAAGTTTATTATATTTGCTGCTACGGAACCCTTTGTGCGCGAGCCCGACTCGCACTTGGCCGGTTTTTTATCCAGATATAACGGTACGAGTCCTTCAGTTCTTGTTTAGTTTGATATAGTAGCTGCTTGTTGTAGGGAGTGAGTGCCTCACATATGAATATGGTTCCATTTGCTTTCGGCTTATGTTTATCAGGGATGATTTCTGAGGAAAGGATCTTTAAGTTCATCACTTTCGGTGCAGCTAGCCACGATGTTTGAGCTTGCTCAGTGTTTAGTTCAACCAGCACCGGACCAGGCCGATCATTTCTGCTTGGCAAACGCTTTATTTGCTTAATTTCATCAGGGTTTTGATCGAGTTTTCTTGCCACAGTGGTTACGATCTCATTTAGGTTTTCATTGTCATTGATTGGGATGTTATGTATCTCAATGTGATTTTGTAGGTTTTGTTGTTCCGTTGCTTGAATGCGCTGTTCCAGGGCTCCTACCCTCGTTTCTAGATTATTGTTCCGATTAGTAAGTTCTACGTTTCTCTTCTGAAGAGCAGATATGTTGTTTTGCATAGTTTCAAAATTTTTTAGGAGTTCATCCATCTTATCTGATTGAAATTGGAGTGCTTTGTTGAGGTCTTTCATTTCAATCTTTATGGCCCTCTCCACTTCTCTAGATATGTCTTCAAGTAGTTTTTTAACATCGATTTGGATCGTTGGGTTTTCAGCGACTTCCTCCTCACCTTCATCTTCATTTGGAATGATGATCGATCGACGTTTAGGCGTGTTGTTTTGGCAATCTTGACAGGTCCATTCTAGACTCTCAGAAGCTCGTAGGGCATTGAGTTGTTTATTCGTGAGTCCTGTGCATTGGGTATTTAAGTGCACAATTTTTTCACAGCGGTTACATTCTAATCCCGGTTTCAGCTTCGTGATGTTTTTGTTACAATAGTCACACTTGCTCGACATAATGAGGGTAGTTCGCGTACGCACAGTTAGAATCTCCACACACGCGTTGTACAGGTAGAAGCGAGCGTCGACGAAGTAGTTGGGGAATTCCTCTCTTTAATTTTTGATGGTGAAATCGGACATAAACCTTGCACTAAAGCTGCAACCACACCAGTCACCAACGCGTGCAGATCGCTATTGCCGGCGCGATCATAGGCCAATGACAGGTCGCGCGACCCATGACAACCACGCGATCGCGCCGTGATCGCGCCGGTGATGGCGATATGCACACGTTGGTGTGGTTGAAGCTTACCAGTTTAAGGTGAGAAGAAGAAACACACGCAGAAGTCGCAATCGCGTGATCACTAACAGACGATTATGGGGACAGTGAGTGATCGCTGATCACCCAATGAAGATTAACTGCCTGTTAAACCTACCCAAAGACAAACGACACTCGCTTTGTTCTCTTATCGCTCTTATCAATCTCTATTGTTGGCAAATAGGACGGCTAAGCGCAAAGTCATGTGACTTTTCTATTAATTATGTCGTCAACGTACAGGCTGTTAATTTGGCCTATCATTAATATTTGAACGCGCAAATCATCATCAGAATAAACAAAAACAAATATCATTTGACTATTAAAAACAACCTTCTCAAGAAAGTAGATTAGTAATGTTTTAAAACAACTATCATTCCCTAAAAAATCAATATTCTTTTGTTCGCAAAAAAGAGCTAGTAACTTATACAGGCTGTTCGCTTCAATTAGGGCGAGTATAACCTAAATAAAATTCTGTATTATTTTTCCAAGGAACAATAACAAATAATTAGCAACAATCACTTTAAATAATTGTGAGCGGAACACCCCGTCATCATCAGTCCTAATTATTATTAATCAAGGCTAATAAATTTAACCCTTACGGTTTGTAAACATAGCACTTCGTAAGAGAACACAACGGGTCATAGAGACGCCCCGCTAATTTTCGATGGACATGCAACCACAGCTCAGATACATCAGTAAATGTAATTTACACAGTGTACGACGAAACGTGTGTTTTTAAATGCTTTTTTAAAATAAAGTAAAAAAGTTTAAAAGTGAATTTAAAAATTCTATTTGCACCTTTATGAAAAAATATCAACATTTCCCGTTTATTTTTTATAAAATGTAATTAAAGATATCCATTTCTTTATTTTTTCTTACATGGAGTAAAATACCCTATTCTCAATTCAAATTCCCTGCAAGAATGGATTAGTTGTTGTTGTGGCTAACATTAGTTTTTGTTGTTGTATCTAAGCACTTAAGTTATTAGGCATAGTTGTGTGCAGTTGTAATTGGTCCATACTCGTAGATTTGTAAGTGATTTGTAGCTGTATTTTTACTAAACAACTAGTATTCTATGTACTGTAACTGAACCTATAAATAAATAAATAAATAATGTCTTAATTCCTTAGCCTAGTCGCAGACTACAAACGTTTTGTCGGCCGATAGTTGGGTCGGGCTGTTAATTATATTATACAGCTTTCATGAAAATATTTCAACATAAAAGATACCAACGAGGGCTATCGTTTTAGCGCTCACCAGTTGGCGCCACTGTAGAGTAAGGTCCTGTCACTTGCTAGTAGCGAAGACAGTGGCACCAACTGGTGAGCGCTAAAGTGGTAGGAGGACTATCGCATTTGCACTCATCAAGATGTCGCCACTGTAGAGTAAGGTCCTGTCAATCGCCAGGGGTGCCAACTGTTAAGTATAAAAACGATAGCCCTCATTGGGCTGTCTGTTGTCCCTGCTATGTGTGCCGCCCGCCGCGCGTAATTGAGCGTCGTTAGAGATCCGCCTACGCCTTCTATTTGTTTTAATTATCGCCACAACGAAGGCTGCGCGTGTTGCTGGCCGACATACGTGTATGTGCCAATTGATTGTTCATTAACTGTAGTTGAGTTTGCCACAAAGTCGATTTATCACGTTTTTAAGTTTCATACATAGGTAATTTAGTCTCTACTGTAGAACGACTCTCTCTAATTTACCAGACAAATGGTGGATTTAGTTTACCTATAGCAGTGGTTCTTAACCGGTGGTCCGCGGTGGTCCCTGGAGGCATTCCAAGTGGTCCACGAAGTGCACTTGCACACCTTGGTCAAAACCACTTTTAACTGATTTTTGCAGTCAAACTGGTTATCACCGATTATGAGGTGGTCCCTGACAAGACAGAAATTTGGTAAAATGGTCCCTCATGACTTAAAGGTTAAGAACCACTGACCTATAGGTACCTTCGCGCTGGTCAGCGGTTGAAGAGGTACTTTTATGCTCTATTAATCGCCTCTTACACAACATCCACGAGTAGAATTTAAAACGATATATCCACAAGTAAAGTGGTGGTGGTCATTATTCTACTCGTAAAAAGCTAAAATGACACTTTTAGTACACAAATTTTGTGCAATAATAAAGTTCATCAATGCAAATCATTCAACGTGTAAGTATTTAACAGTCTTTTCTAAACCGTAAGTTGATACATCATAAAGGTAGCAGGAAAGCGCTGGACGCAGGCCGCTACCAACCGGGTAACATAGAAAGCATTGGGGGAGGCCTATGTTCAGCAGTGGACGTCCTATGGCTGAGATTATGATGATGATGATGATGAAGACATGAAGTTGATACATTTTGGCCTGGACAGATTACAATCCTTAGTAGTTTTAACTCACCTTAAGTTAATAATCCTTGGAGTTCCAAAGTCATGGCTAACTCCCACATCTGGAACAAAAAATCTTGTTTGCATAATTTATCCCTTAGATTAACTTTTATGAATATTTATCAACAACTAATCTAATTTCACGGCCTTTAGATTCTTATTCAAATTGCAAAAGAATGTTTTTTGTTTAACAAATACTAAACCAAGGGCATTGCTGCCATCTTAAGTTTTTAGACTAAACCTTACACCATTTGAGATGTAGGTATACACTATACATATTATTCTATGTAGATCGACATAGTTATGCACATAATAAGTAAATACACGGGACAAAAATCCACGAGTAGTTAATTTAGAAGGTATGTTTATTTAGACTGTAGCGGTAACTGTTTACGAACATTTGACTGTCTGATGCATCCGTAATTTATTATGTTTTTACAAAGTACCTATTTAATCAGAAACATTATACGTAAAGAATTCGAAGAATTTAAGAATAGTAACTTAAAATTGTTATAATTATTGTTTAAATAAATGAAATTGTTTCTATAAATAAGTTAAGGACTACAAATTAATGAAAACTCCGGTTTACGAGAAACTCGTTAACAACTCGCCCGGGGACAGAATGTTTCGGTCACACCACACTGAGTTCAGAAACCCATAAACAGAAGTTGAGTTTTATTGAATATTCGTGAGCAAAATATTCGCCGAAGTTTGCCAGTTGACTTCAATTTATCTTTGAATAAAACCACAGAACTCTTTGAGAATAAAGATCATTAATAACAGGGTAACTCCCGCTGAAATCTGAAGCATAATACATTTTCTTTCCCGTAGCATTGGGGCGTTCATAGGGAAAGTTGAAGCTTAAACATTATATCGTGGGGCGTATATGGGGTGAAATCTGAAGCCTAAAGACATAATGGACATGGCGTACAATGTTTGTTGAAGATGCCAAAAAATACTACAAAAAATTAGAATGAATACTGTATTTTTACTTTTTTGATATCTTTAAAAATGACTGAAATATTCAAGCTCAAAGTGCGCTCTTCCGCTAGGAGCAATTTTCCGCGCGGATTTTGAAAATGTGACGTAGTAACATGAAAAGCTGCATGTAACATATTATCTGTCTACAATGGTTAGAATGGTTAGTAGGGGAGCCAAAGCGGACGGTCGGGACTTACTAAAGAGTGGCAGACTAACATACAAGGAAATACTTTGTACCTGGTTGATTACCTTTAAGTATGAATTTTTGACATAAAACGGCATTAGTTCTTATGCCTTTCACCCAAAAAATACCTCAATTAAGCCCAAAGGACAATGACCAAAAGTGGTCCAAAAGTCCACCACTAATGAGACCTATATTGGCTTATAGTCCATTAAATAGAGATTAACTTTCAGTATGGGACGAAAAAAAAATGAGCTGTCAGTAAAAAGTTATGACCGTATGAAAAAATGTAGTAGTTTACGCGCTAATCTCAGGAACTACTGGTCCGATTTGAAAAAATATTTTTGTTATGGATAGCCCATTTATCAAGGATGGTTTTAGGTTAATATAACATCACCCTACAACCAATAGGGGCGGCGCAGCGACCACCCGACCATAATTCCAATATTGTTGTCTTTCTTCTAAGTTTATTTTTTTTCTTTTAGCGAGAATCTAACACGGCACACTAAGCGACATTACATAACATGCATAGATTAATCCAAAATGTGCGATGGATAGAATGATATCAAGAACATTTTTCGGATGAAAAGGTAAAATACATGACTTTTCATTCAGTCATAACTTTTTACTGACAGCATATTTTTGATTGCGGTTTGGTTATAATGAATCAGTATTAAGTAGACTATTTTACTATATAGGTCNCTAAATATAATGAGACCGCTCGGACACCGAGCCCACAGCGTGGTAGGGGTGGGGTTGCCCGCTCTTTTGTTTTTTAATACTACTACGCTGAATATTGTGTGCGGATTGGGTTGTCGTACAGGGGTACTACATGGTAAAATAAATCTCTTCGGCGAAAACAGGATAATTTAGATCGAACTTCACTTGGTAAGTTCGTTTGATCATTCAATTGTCATCGGTCCAGTAGTTAACAAACAAACAAGTTAATCTGTCCTCTTTATAGTAAAGTGCTCGTATATTGCTTTTTGTTTTCAGAACATTATTTATTTCAAGTTTGCTGTAACGATACGAGTAGAAAAGTAAGATACTTATATTTTCTTTAGAGCAATGTTTCTGTGGTGTGTTAGAATTTGAAATTATGATGCGCGATGTAAGGAGAGTAAATCCTTATTATACCTAACTAGCTGACCCGGCGAACTTTGTTCCGCCTTAAT